CATACATACATACATACATACATACATACATACATACATACATACATACATAAACAACAAAAAAAGCTCTGTTGGAATGTCTAATACCCACTACTTTGCATGAAAGAGCTTTAAACAAATATCTTATAAAAATCTGTTACTCCTTGGAGTATGTGATGGGGATTACTCTCAGCTATTACCACACCAAATTAGATTCATTTCTGTAAAATTAACCAAGCTATAGCAACTTTTCAGTTTCTAAAAGTTCATTAGCTGTAGTGGCCAATTTGACTCAGTGCAACTCCGAAAGTTAAAGAGTTGTACTTGTACATTCAAAGATTACGTTACGAGAGTTTCATTAAAATCCCTCCCATAGTTTATGACATAATTCACTAAACATACAAACACAAACACACAGGAAATTACAAGAAATTTAATAATAATMGACAAACATTGAGGCATCAAAGTACAACATTATTCATACTTTACAATAATGACACAGATTTTGCTCGTCTAGATGCATAACCTCATAAGCCTTTGGGATCCAAACTGGGGGCTGGTCACTATCATGGGAAAATTCCAGGAGTCTGTGGTTACAGATGAGAGTCGGATGACACGCTTCTTTGGCCAAATACTTGGAAAAATTCAAGGAACTCACTTACTGGGTCACAAAAATTTACGAAACACAATTGTCCCCGTAAAGTCGTTAAAGGTGCTCGATGCAATGTGCACATCATGAAGCGGGAAACAAAACTGGCACAATTTTTTGTCCTTCAGTCGACTGTACTCTTACGCTAAAACCTTTGTGAATGCTTGTTAACTAGCATGTGTTTATGCACAAAATTAGCTGAAGTGACTGAAAATACTCCAACTATGTCCATGGAGCTGAAAACTGACATATTTGCACTGGTTTTTTGAGTAAATTATGCAATATTGTTGCTTTGTTTACACTGGGCGAGTACCCGCATTTAAGCAATTCGAAAAATCAAACTGGAGTAAACTATTTCCAACAGCATCCTTTGATAAAGCTCAGAGTAACTTATTGCTATGTTTGATATGGTAGTTTGCAACGGAGCACCTTTAAGTGTGTTAACACAGAGAGGAAACTCTTGCAGGATCAGTGTATATAAGACCCGGCCTGTCATGTTGGTTTTAACGCTGTTTGAAATCTCGGTCACGGATCCCTTCATTTCTTTTTAAGTGCAATTTTCACAGCCTCGTTGCTCTTCACGTCGGGGTCACGTGACTGAAGTAATGCAATCATTTAAAGTGCGCGTATAAATAGAGAGAGAGGTAGAGGTGGCGGTGGGGAGACGCCAGGCTGGTAAAGCTGATCCGCTGTGGGATTAAACCGAAGCGCGCGCACACGCAGACTATAGGCTGGATTTGGCCAAGAAAATCCATGCAAATTGACAGCTGCACCGATATSTACCCCGCAGCCAGCCAGTTGGGTGGGTGGGGGGCGTTTATTTTCTCTCAATGAATACTAGTCCGCCTTCAGATGTTTTATATAKGGGGGGCATCACCGCACACGCCCAGTCTGTGCGTGCGTCCAGCTCGTTCCAAGTGGCATTTCTGCACGCGTGACAGCAGCGTGATTACATGTGCCAACACAAGAGGCTGCTTTTAATCAGCACATATCATTATGCGCTTATTTTATATGCGCACAATTAATCTAATGATGTAATGCCAACCTGACACACACAAAAAAGTCCCAGGAGAAATCTATGCCCCCCTTACCACCTCCTCCACCTCCTCCTCCTCCTCCTCCCGGCAACAGCACTGACAGAAACGCCCAGAATCAAAGTATTACAAGGCAAAACTGACCCCGCAGTTCACGCACCATTATCGGTTCAAATTAAAGTCACAGCCCCGCGGGGATCAAACACGAAGGAGGGGGAGAGAGAGAGAGAGAAAAAACACAACAAAAACAAAAGTAGCCAGGATGCAACATTTCTTCCATTTAAACGATCAGATACTCACTGTCATCGTCTCAGCAGCTTCCCATCCACGTCAAGACATTTTAAAGAGTAAATCCGAGCTGTTAGACAACCGTGACGGTGCCGAGTTGTTTCCCCAGCCAGCCTATTTTATTATTATTATTATTTTATTTCTAAGGACCGGCGGCGGAGAGGCGAGCTTCGCCGGAGGAATGACACGGAGCCGGTGGACGAGTCGCGCCACTCATCTTTTAGAGGTGTGGTGGAAAAAGGCTTTAAAGAAAGGTGGTTAAAGTCCACAGCAGGTCAGAGCTGCATATGTCCTCCTGTCCTCCTCTCCTCTCCCAGCGCGCACGCAGAGTCACGGAGCGGTGCCCACAGCCACGCAGAGAGAGAGAGCTAGAGAGGGGGAGGGAGGGAGAGAGAGAGAGAGAGAGAGAGAGAGAGAGAGAGAGAGAGAGAGAGAGAGAGTCCAGGGGAAATAAATAGTTAAATTCCCCTCTGCTGGGTGAGCTCTAAGAGGTTCCACACAAGCTGGTAAGGAAGGTGGGGTCTCCTTAAGGACGCGCAGGACCGAGCAATACTCCCAGGCTGGGCAGCGGATTGTGTGTCTGAAGGCAGCGGCTCCGTGTGGCGCACAGAGGAGTGACGACGACACGAAGCCCAGCCTTCTGCACTCACTGACCCTGCACGAGCCACAGCGGAAACTTCTCACTTGAACTTTTTTTTATTCTATATTTCGGTGTTTCTGAACGTTTAGTTGCAGCTGCAGGTATGAAAGTTGCCCAACTTTCGGTTTCACTGAGTGCAACAGTGGCGCCCCCATGTTTTATGGTGGGTGGGCACTGAAAATCCTGAGATGGACCCAAAACCATAAAACAGAACAGAATTCCAGGAGATTTTTTTTTGTTGTTGTCATAGATTGTGTGACAAACACAGCAATATAGGGACATATAAGGAATGTGTACAAAAGATTATTTTTTTATTATCAGTGGTGGGCACAGTTCCCCTGAAGCACTAAAGCACTAATAGGGGGAACTGATTTCCTGATTAGTGCTTTAGGGCTTTAGCAAATTTTCAAATTAATTAGTGGATTAGCACTTGCTAAATTTATAGGCTAAATTTAGAAGCACAATGAGGTCCATTAATGTTATTGATCAACATTAATGTTAACAGCTGATGGTGAAAACTGTCACACATTTTGTTCATATGTGTGTCACTGATCCACCAGGTGACATATTGACAATATATGAACCCAAATACAGCTGTGGAATGTCAGTGATTAATCCTAAGAGAGCAACATACATGATAATATGTGACTCATGTTGTCTGTTGAAGAATGTTCATGGGTTGACTGGGTTATTTTAGTGCTCTAGAACAGTGTTTCCCAAAGTTGGGGTCAGGACCCAAAGTGGGGCCTGAAACATCAAGGTGGGGTCCTGAAAAGATTTTCTGAATTAATTACATTTTTGCCTTAGTTGCCTAAAATGTATAAATGTAGAATAATAAATATTGTTACTATGCCCATGTTTAGTTGACCTGATACAAATGTTTATCATCCAAAAATAGTTGTGGGCACAGGTCTACTGTTATTTTATTTTGTGGCTCAAAAGCTGAAAAGTTTGGGAACCACTGCACTTCAGAAATCAATTTAAAGTGTAATAAAATAATTGGTGATGTAATATTTTTCCTATAATTATTACAAAAACACAAAATAAGTATAAATAAGTATTTATATTTGTGTAGCCTTTGTTTTTAGGGTCATCATCAAAATTTGTGTACTCAGACCAGTAATATTTGGGGTCACAAGTTTTTGCCATGAATATTTTGTGGGTCAGAAGATAAAAAGTTTGGGAACCACTGCTTTAGAATTAGCTTTTGCTAAAAATTTCCGTGCATTAATGCTTTAGAATTAGGAGACTTAAATACTGTATTTGAGTTAGTGTTTTAGGGCTAGTGGAACTAAATTTTAGATTAGTGCTGCCCACCACTGATTATTATTTATTTCACAGTTTATATTAGAAAAACACTCATTGCTTAAGTTTTTAATATAGCTAACCTCCTTTTGACCAGTTGTTTTTAAAATTTTAAATAAAACACATATTTTTTATTTTTAACTCCTAATTGCTAAAATCAAAATATGTTTCTATGTTCCTAAAAAGTAGGAGTAGCGATTGCCCCCTCTGGCCCCCACCTTAGTGGTGCTCACACCATGCAACAAGGCTGCAGGCTAATTCTTCTTTTGTTGAATTCACAAAACTGAAAGGAGTGGTTCAAATAAGGTTTGCAAACTGTCCCTTAAAATAAGGAATTTGCTTGTATTTGAAGTTAAAGGAATGTGTTTGTTTTAAAGTTTATAAGGTCTGTCCCTCCTGTTCAGGAGGTGTAAATCGGTTTATAGATGATCAATAAAACAGGTGACACAGTTATTTTGGCTAATCAGTGCCAGATAATCACGTTTTCGGCAGAGAAACATGTTGAACACAGAAACATACGTTGGTTACTCAAAACTATAGATAAAGTTCATTGTTTTAGCTGATTTTTGTTTGTTAAAATAGACATTTTTTATTTAAAGTCACAATAACTCAAATACAATCTAGAGAAATAACATTTCTGAAAAACTGCAGCATGAACACTGACAATTGAAATTTGTGGAAGTAGCTAAAACTGAGTTGTTAAAGCAAAAAGAAGCATCACACTAAAAGTGGTAAAATGCAGCAAAAGTCTAACTAAAAGCTAAAACTAGCAAAATGATTTTTTCAAATCTAAAATGACTAAGGACCAGGATTCAAATCAATACTCAGTGGTAGTCGTGTTTTGTGTGTTCCTCCTGAAGAATAACAGTATTAAATACAGACTATTCTGTAGTGGAAATGACTCCATGCTCAGAAAGGCTTCAGGAAAATCACGGTCAGTGAGCACAATTTTGTGCTGCAGCCATAAATTCTAATTAAAACTCTACAAAAGAGGAGAAAAACATGTTTCAAAAAAGTGCCTTTTCTGAACCCAAGCTCAGTAAAATGGTGTGACAAATTTTATATAAATAAATATTAGTTTTTTTCCCTTTTTTTAAAATCATTGATGCTGTTCAGTCTAGTTTGATATCAGCACACAGTTCAGATATCTGGGCTGATTCTGGAGGCATTCAGTGAACACAACATGCACTTTCAGGGAATGCAAAAAAATATAAACAGATTTAGGAACTAACTGAAGAGATTTTGACGAAAAGACAGAGTAATGACAGTTTATGAGATATTTGCCATATACTGTAATAGCACCCATCAACAAAACAATTAAAACATTAGGGGAACAATTTAAGTTATTTGTTTAGGCCAAAGTTGCCACATTTCAAACATATTTCTGTAATTAAAACCAGATTTGTCACTGCTTACCAAATGAAATTTGATTTATACATTCTAATTGTGTGGGTGTGTTCTGGAACGGATCATATGACATAAGAGTTGACACACACACACACACACACACACACACACACACACACACACACACACACACACACACACACACACACACACACACACACACACACACACACACACACACACACACACACACACACACGTTTGCACAGCTATCCATTTGGGGACATTCCATTGACTTATATTACATTTCTACAGCCTAACCCTGACCACAAACCCTGGCTAACCTCACAGGTACCTACCTGACCCTAAATCTAACCTAAACTCAATTCCCACCTTGGTCCTAAACCAAACCCCCAACCCATCAATGGCATTTAAATGAAACGGGGACTCGACTTTTGTCCCCAAATGTAGGATTTTTGTCTTGAAATTGCCCCCAAATGTAAACACGCCCCACACACACACACATACATACAGAGCTACAGATTCTGTCTCAGTCTGAACAGAAGGTCAGCAGGAGTCTAGCCTGTCATTCAACTTTATTCCTCATTCCGGTTTTTAAACTCTTATCAAGCTTTCTACTTCCCTTGAACCCCCATGAAACCATCTCAGTGTATTGTTTAACTAATGCCTTTAGGGAGACTGACCTAATTTTTAGGGATTTTATCTGGAAGATGATGTGAAGATGGTAAGTTCATGTGCTCACCAGGCAATTAACTCATCATTAATTTGATCAACAGGAGGCTCATATCGTTTAAGCTAACTATACAGATGCACACAAACACTTTGCTGTCTTTGAAGCTTCCATTTCTTTTGAATGTCAAAGATGCTGCAAACTGTTCTGAAACTTTCCGCCCCCGTCAGTGGATGGTTCTACAAAATAAAAGATCTGACAAGTTTAGAAACAGGAGGAACAGATAAAGATGTCCATACATCTGTCACGTCAAAGTTCTTTCATGCAGATCTTCATCACACCTGGAAGAAGCAGATGACTTTCACTGAACTTTTGACTGAGGAGGTGGTCACCCTGGGCACTGCGGCTCAATCACTCCTCCTTTTCTTCCTGCTGTCCCAAGAAGAAGGGATGCAGTGTTTGTCAAAGTGCCATTCAGTGGGGTTTATCAATCACCGAGGGGCAGAGACGTGAAGAAAAAAAAACCCCCAGCCCATTTTAGATCCACGGTATCTTGGAAAGTGTTGCTCTATCTGCCAGCCCAACGGCCCATCTGCAGCTGAAATCTGGCAGGAATCACTGAAGGCCCATTACTGACAGAGAGATAAGGTCTGAGAAAAGAATGCCCCTTGGATAATACCAGAAAAGTCAGGAAACATCTTTCTCTGCTTATATCTGTCTCACAAGTGTTTAAAAAAATAAAAAAGCGGTGAGCTCCTGACAGTCTGAGAAATTGAACTTGTCTCTGACTTGTCAGAAACTCACCAGCTCCAAAGCAGAGACACCAGAAGTGACCTCGGAGGATTCTCACTCCGTCTCTCTCTTCAGGGATCAAGTTCACCTTGAAATAAGATGGACCGAACTCGATGATGGACACAATGAAGCGTCAGAAATGTGACGGTGGTACAAAGGTCCTGCCTGCTTTTGGAGACCCAAAGGAGACCACACAACAAAACTAAACACACATTATATCTTATTCAAATAATGACGCTCCATGGCTGTCATGAAAGAAGTTTCAAAAGATCTTACAGCCTGTCTTGCAATTTATATTTTCAAAATGTCCTCAGAGCGTCTCCATACATTTTCCTGTTCACTGTTGTGCATGAGAGATTTTGAATAAAGGAGGATTTCCATTTTGGTGACAGAAAAAAATTCTACAATCTAAAAAAAGTGTGCTTCAGACACTTTTTTTTTATAATTTCTGTGGTGTGATTGCACTTTAAGCTCAGAAACTAATTTCTGCAACCTGTAAAAATCCTTCTAAAGATGGTAATTTCACAGCAAGGTTATAATAGTTTTGGATTTTTCATTATAGTTTAGTTTTATTTC